TTGTTTCTTTTTATGGCTGAGTGATATTCCATTGTATATATGTGCCACATCTTCTTTATCCATTCATCTGTCGATGGACACTTAGGCTGCTTCCATGTCCTGGCTATTGTAAATAGAGCAGCAATGAACATTGTGGTACATGACTCTTTTTGAATTATGGTTTTCTCAGGGTATATGCCCAGTAATGGGATTGCTGGGTCATATGGTAGTTCTGTTTTTAGTTTTTTAAGGAACCTCCATACTGTTCTCCATAGTGGCTGTATCAATTTACATTCCCACCAACAGTGCACAAAATCCATTTTAAAGTCTCTGCTTTCAGGTTATCTGAAGATCCTGTATGGAGAGACCTAGCATAGGTTGTAGTGAACAGATGGTGTAGGTTCCAAGAAAGTCATGACATGTGCTCAGTTTTGGCCGGAGTGGCTCATGGCTATACTGTGGTCAGTGCCAGTTGAGACCCACTCAGGACCCTGCATGGCCTGCCCAGTGACCTCCAGAACTTTTGGGAAGGTGGTGACAGCATGGGAGGGTGACTGAGGGAAGATTCAGGGATGTGTCCCACCCTTAGTCTCTGAAATAGGTGTGACTCGTTGGCTCCAGTTAGAACTGGTGAATTCCCCAAATCCAAATATCAGAGTGGTGATTTCTTGTGGAGAGTGGATGGCAGCCCTGGATATTTTGGGAACGAACCGTATCATCTTCCCTCATCTCTTCTGGGAGAGCAGCCTACTTCTACACATCTGCTCCCAGGAGATCAGTCTCCAAAAAGCCCCACCTTGAGTACAGGTTACAGGGTCAAAAGATGCTGCTGCTTTGGCTGCCAGCTGGGGTGATGTAGGCAGAGAAGCTGGGATGCGGAGGCATGCTATTCTGACCTACAACTGCTTCCCTTGCAGCCGGTAGACACTGCGAAAGCAATTTTGAAAATCTGAGACATCTTGATGTATCTGTTCATCTTAAGCTTATTTTAATAACTATAATTTTATTTATTTTTTAAAGCATTTATACCCTTTAAAAATTTTATTTATTTACTTACTTATTTTATTTTATTTGGCTGCGCTGGGTCTTAGTTGTGGCACACAGGATCGTCGTTGCTACATGCAGGATCTTTGTTGCTGCATGAGGGATCTTTAGTTGCTGCGCTGGGTCTTAGTTGTGGCACACAGGATCGTCGTTGCTACATGCAGGATCTTTGTTGCTGCATGAGGGATCTTTAGTTGCATCATGTGGGATCTTTTAGTTGCACCATGCTAACTCTTAGCTGCGTCACGTGGGATCTAGTTCCCTGACCAGGGATCAAACCTGGGCCCCCTGCATTGTGAGCGCAGAGTCTTAGCCACTGGGCTACCAGGGAAGTCCCTAATAACCATAATTTTAGATGGTCATCTTTTATCCTGATCTTGAGTCTTACATCTTACATTTAATTTTTAAGCTTCATAATGAATATTAATGAACTAATTTACTTAGGGATTCACCTAGAGTCTATTCCTTTATGTATGGCTTTTATCACAGTGATCTCAAACACTTCTAGGAAGATTACCCACGTAAATAGTGCCCCCAGCATTTATGCTGGGAAATACTTGATTGCTTTCTGCTTATTGTTAATTCAGGAAACCCGTTCATTCTCAAAATATAAACTCTTGCGATTGAATCAAATGACTCAGCTCTCCCGCTCCAGCCATGCTGCCTGGCCTTTCCTCACAGCTCCAGACAGGCGTCCAGTTGTCCTGAGCACACCCCCGCTCACCTGTCCTGTTGTACGAAACTAAACGTGTTCCCTTCTTTCCCAGAGTCTCCCTATTTACTCCCACCAGTTAGACTGTGCAAATATTCCTGTGTCCTTTGGGGATCCCAAATCACCTACTGACCCATGAACCAACCCTCCAAAATCACCCATAATATGTGGTACATGTGTGCATATTTTTCTGGGGATCACACCCACAGCTTTCATTATATTCTCAAAGGGCCCATGACCCTCTCATCCAAAAGGATGGAAATGGTCTCTCACTGTCATCGATACTGTCCTATGGTATACTTGCAACAGTAAAACTGCCTCCTGGCTGGTCCCCCCGCCTCCAGGGTCCTTCCAGTCCATTCTGTGCACTGACACCACCTCACTGATCATCAGTGGGACACAAGGTTTACCTGCTTTAATTCTCTCCCATCCCCCAAGTCCACAGGAGCCTGAGAGCAGTGCCACCACACCTGTTTTATTCCTAATTAATTGCTTTGCTACCTAGAACACCTCCCCTGCCTCTCTCCGCACACCCATTCAACCTCCACACTTCAAGGCCCAGCCAAAGGCACGTCCCAGCCGAAGACCAGCCTAGAGGTGGAGTTTGGTTTCAGATGACAGGATACCTGAGAGGGAGTGTGGGCCTGGAGGTTTACAGAGCTGGAAAGGTCTGCATGGAGTTGAAAATCTTGAAAAAGGACGAGCTCTCCAAGGTTTCAACCTTGACAGTGAAAGAGCTCTCCAAGGTAACTAAAAGCAAAAACAGTCAAGTGTTTATTCTCAATTTCTACAGCACTTAGGTGCCCAGCCCAGGGCTCCACAAAGAGCTCACTTGAATATTTACCGAACAAGTGTGGAATGTTACATTCAAAACGAAACATAATCTGATGGGGGAATGGGAGTTTCATAAGGTTAAAATTTGCCTGCAAAATATTTTGAACAAAGTACTTTGCAAAAATTAGGTGAATTATTTCCCTAGTCTTTGCCTCAAAAATTGTAATTTATAAAATCACTGGAGTTGAAAGTGGTTTAAAGCGGCAAATGAAAAGTCAAATGACATCCTTAATAGGTGCATATTAAAAATACATATTTCTATTAACATTTTTCATGGATGTGATGATAAAGTAAACCTACAGTGGAGAGAAACAAAATACACTTTGCATTAATAATTTGTAAATCACTATCTCAGGGATTTGCTTAATTACTGTTACCTATGCAACTAACCCCGGGCATAATTATTTAGGAAAGAATTCATGTCTTCCTTGCGACACATTCTAAACCAATATTGTTGGTCTCTAAGGAGAAACTGTGTCCACAGTTAAGTTAGGTGTTTAATATCATGAGTCAATATTAATATTAAACTAGAGCTGAAGAGAGAACAAAAAACAGGGGCTGGTGCACAGCCACAGAACCACGCTACAACTGCAGGCAACTGTGAGTTGCCAAATTAGGTGTTACTGAAATGGAAGACCAAGCAGGAAGCTGGTGGCTCGGCAGGCGGGGCCCGTCCCTCATAACGCGCTCACCAATATAACATTCCCCCAGTGCTTCATCTTCATTTGCAGAGGATAATGGATGGGATCAGGGCTGCGAGAGTTTGGTCAGTTGCACAAGACCCAGCCTCTAGGCACAGAGCTACCACGGAGCCTGGCTTCTACCAGACCATCTACTCTCTACCAACTCAACAGCAGTTTATAAATTCCCCCCAGGGCTTAACTATGCCCTTTGGACCTCCAAGCACAGGAGCCCTTTAAAAGCCATCATCTCCAAAGCTGGCTGCCCATAGCATCCCACCAGTGTTCAGACCACACAGCCCAACTGTGCCCCAAATCTAGAGAATTTCCAAGTCAGAGCCCTCAACAATAACTGCTCCTCTCATTGCACATGTGACGAAACAGAGGTCTGGAAGATCTAAGAACTGGGCCCGAACCCTGATCTTCTTCCAGTCCGGAGAAGGTTCTGCTGTATCCCAGTTCTGCCAGCTGTTATGACGTAGGGGATGCCAACCGAAGTAGAGCTGGCTTTTCAGAAGTGATATTGCAGTCCTTCAGGAATCCTGAGTGCCTGGACCTTTGAGTGTTATTGGAAAAGCATTGTTCCAATTTACTGGAAATTTTCCTTTTACAAATTGACCTCCTGCCCTTGCTAAACTGTTCCCCTTCTTTTCCTCTGGAAACGGTCTACCTGGACACCCCTTGCCATTGTTACCCGGCTGTGGGCACAGGGATTCCTGTCTACTAGGCTCCCTTGTAAATGTTGTGAGCACTGGCAAAGAATGGGAGGAAAAGGCCAGAGCATCAGAGGTTTCTTGATGCAGCTGTTCTAGAGCAAGACCCACGGTGCAGAAAACCAAACTCTGACAGGGGGTGTTTGCAGCAAAATAAGGGTTTATTTGCAGGGTGCCAAGCAAGGGAGTGGGAGACCAGTCTCAGATCCACTCCATCTTGGTCTTTGAGTTAGGGCTGTTTTAAACGGGAAGAACAAAGAAACTGGGATTAATCACTTTGTGACATTTCTGTGACATTTCTTAACTGTCGATTCGCGAGTCAGGATGTCTCTGGTTTATGATTCTCTGGCCAGATGGTCCAAGGCTCAGGGATCTGTGAGCTCATCTTGCTCTGAGTCTTTACGTTAATGATGACCTCCATAATAGCAATTTTACTGTATTAACAATGTTACCGAGAACAGCCATCTTTGTCATCTGACTCTGTTTGATTCGTGTTCAGTTAGCACAGGATTGAGGTCAGAGGAGACAAGAAAGGGATCAAGGTTTTGAATAGAGAGATTAATCATAAACTCCGCAAGGGAACTCGGTTTTAGAGGGACTCAGTTTCACAGTCAGTGGCCAAGTCCTTGACCTGAAAGCTGCCTCGGGTGCCCATGTCTTCATGAAGGGCTTTGCCTGGCTCAGAAAAGCCTTGCAGCTGATAAGCTTTGTGAAGTCCCTGTCCTGCCTGTTTCCACCAAGTAAAGCACGCTTAGCCCTTTCCCCTTCCCTCACTGGTTTAGGCAGATGGCCCAGTCCGTCACAACCAAGGCGGAGACATGGTCTGAGCTGACTCATTGAAGAACAGTAATTCCTTCCAGAGAAGATTCGCCATTCGTTCAGACACTGGAACGATTATTTGCTGGCGGACAGCTGTAATTACTTTTTACTGCAGGTAGGCAACTGTTCCAGAAGTCAAGCTAATAGAATTACTGGTTTCTGAATGGCTTTTGGAACAAGTAATTTTCAACAAGTCAGCACAGCATGTTCGGTGAACTTTCCACCCAGGACAAATCCCTGCCTCTGTGGCTCCGCACTGCAGGCAAGATGTGGGTTCTTCGATGGGGCACTTTGGAACTGTAGGGGCATTTTTCTTCCAGGACCCTTCGTTTGAAAATGGGACTTGAGCAAATCGTGCTTGGAGATATTTCATGAGCTTGCACCAAATCACTCTTCTAATTTTTAATTACTCTGGGAGTTGGCATTAAATTGTATCAACGAACTAACCAACCTTTCTAGCAATAGCAGGGTAAATCACTTTCCCAGTCATGGTATCCCATGGTAACTTCTCCCTCCATGCTACCCATTTCTGAAGAGAAGCTAAGGGAAAAATAAATCCAGAGGGCCTTTTAGTCAACGTTCCTAACAAGATTACCAACTACTGTAGACTGTAGATAATGATTTTGCAACAAGATTCTCTATTTGATAAGAAAAAGCCCTTTTGAATGCTTGTCAACATTGGACCCTATCAGCTGATTTGACATTTAACAGATTTTAAAAAGCACATCCATGGTCTGTTGGGACAACAGTTCCTTTTACTGAGAAGTCTTCGAGGTATTTTTTGCTGTTGTTGTTGTTATGATTACTAAACATTCCCGCCTCCTGCTTTGCCATCCACTAATTAGCTGAGCTCTGGTTTTGAGTGGGCCATAACTGTTCTCTTTGTGCCCATGAGTTGGCTTGTCCTGTTACCTGTCCAGGGGAAGGAGCAAACGCAAAACTGTATGACTTGGGAGAAGACTGGGCCTACCTTAACTCTAGTATCATAAGAAGAGACAGATCTGCTTTTAAGCAGATTGAGTTGTTGAGAATCAAGAGAGGATGAACTATATAGACTATTGATCTGGAGACCGTGTATGGTGAGAACGTTTAAGACTTACACGCTTAGTAACCTTCAAATATACAATACAGTATTGTAAACTATAATCACCATGCTGCACAACAGATCCCTAGAACTCATTCATGTTATGACTAGAAGTTTGTACCCTTTGACCAATATCTCATCACCACCCAACACCCCAGTTCCTGGCAGCCACCAATCTACTCTCTGTTTCCATGGCTTTGTGTTTTCTAGATTCCACGTATAAGTGAGATCATATAGTATTTGTCTTTCTCTGTGGATACTATTTTTTAGACTTTTTGACATATGGTCAATGCATAGAGACCTGTTAAGGGAATTTATTTCAAGCAATTGGTGTTATCAGTTTGCTTTATTGATATGCAAATTCATTAGTGTCTGGGATCCCCAGAGAAGGAACTGTAACCCCACAGCAAACTTCCTTTGCAGCCCTTAGAAATCAAAAAACCTTCATTCATTGTTAGGAAAGTTGAAAGTATGCTAGATAGCTGTCCTCAAAAGCCTGAAAAATGCTTAGCTGAAAATCATTAAGTAGGTTTAAGAAACTGTTTACTATTTAATACTACACAACATTTAGTATTACCACAACCTTTGCAAGTCATTCTGATGGGGGCACTAAAGTCACCCTCAACTGCAGGACCCCAGCTCTAAAACATCAGGAGGATAGAGTCTGCAAATTGAGAGCATATGAGTCAGAGCAAAAGTTTGGAATCAGACAGAACTGGGCTCAAATCCCACTCTACCACTTCCTACCCGTGTCTTCCTACAATCCTGTCTGCCTTGCAATGGGGGTGATGAGATAATGTATGTGAAGCACTTAGTGCTGTGCCTGGCACAGAGTAAATGCTCAACAAACAGGGATCAATACATTAATTATGCTGATGAACCATGCTTCCTTTAAAAGACATACACCAATAACATTTCAAAGGGCGTACCCTTTGCTAGCCAAACCTCCTTTACGGAAGATCTAACATTCTGGGTGTTGAGGAAGATTCTAAGGTACCCATGAGACCCATACTATCACAAAAGGTCAGTGTGGTCACTTATCACAAAGTGTGGTCAGTGGGCCACTGCCCCAGAATCACCAATAGTGCCTGTTTATAAAACTGGTTTCTGGGCCCCCTAGAAGGCAGGCTGCATTGGTCAGGATTGGCCAGGCTATGCTACAGTAAGAGACACACCCTAGAAGCTTGGCGATTTCACCTTGAAAGGTTTATTTCTCACTCACGCAAAGTCCGCTGTGGCTCTGAGTGTCCTCCAGGGCATCTCATTTTCAGCAGGGGCTCGGGGACGCAGGCTGTTTCTCTCTGGTGGCTCCACCGCGGAGATAAAGCCTCTTGCTGTTGACGTGGCAGGTGAAGAAGACCACCAAAGTGACTCCTGGCACATCTACTCAGTCTGTTGGCCAGAACCTGTCACGTGATCCCGTTTACTTCCAGGAGCTGAGAAAAAAGGTGAGGAGGGTGGATATCTGAAATGTCTCTCTCTGCCTCACTCACTGAATCATTCTCTGGGGTTAGGATCTAGGAATCTACATTTTCAAACTCCCCAGATGATACAATTCAAAGTTAGCCATCACAGGGCTGTGATTATCTACTGCTGGCAATGTTCCTTTCTGGGATAAATAATTTGAAATAATGGAAATGAGAGGGTGGCTCTGTCAACATAATAATTAAACTGGGAGTCTAAGAGTCTAAAACATTAGGCTCTTTTCTAGCTGTTACGTTAAGTGTAGCTCTTAGGTAGAGATGCCTCTGAAATCTGTTTCTGGTCCAGACTCTCCACTGCCTTCAGACTGATATATACTCAGCCAGGGTCTCACAAATCTCAACCTGTTTGTTCATCTCTACCAAACCTGTCCCTGTGTCGTGTCCTGGGACAGTACCAATACCCACCCTCCCGGGCAACTTCCAAGGCTTCGTGACGTGGGAGTCTTCCTTGGCTTTTCCTTTTTTTTAACCCCTCAAAGCGAGGCATCAAGACTGTGTTTCTGTCTCTTCACCGCATAGTGCGTCTGCTCCCATCTCTCTTCCTCCACTGCGGTTCCCTTAGTCCAGGGTCCCATCATCACCTGCCCTGGTCCAGCTCCTCTCTCCTCTTTCTCCCAAATTGCTGCCAGGGTGATGAACTCCCCTTCACGATAAGCATTTCCTCATTTCTCCCCAGCAAGACTCCTCTCCTCTCCTCAGCCTTTTCTGAGCTTACTCTTTTCCCCTTCACTCTTCCCCAGCATACTTCTCTCACACAGCTATAGTTTGAACTCACCTATATCTGCTACACTGCAAGCCCCCTGAGGACAGACAGCAAGTTTGCCTCTCTCAGGATGGGATCCTCATGGTCTGACACCATACTCAGCACATAGTAGGTATGAAGGGAGAGAGCAATGAGGGTGGGAAGCTGCATGGTGCCTGGCACCTGGTGGGTGCTATACAAAATTTGTTGAGAAGAGGATATCCAACCATCTTCCTCTGCTTAGTTATCCTGTCCTGCAGCTATGATCAAAGATGAGAATAAGAGGTGGAGCGAGTCAGCATGTTCAGGGTGTCTGAGTAATATTGTTTTGCAAGCAGAGCAGCATTTTAATTTGCAGAAAAACAATTCTGAGTAAAACCAAGTGAATTAAAAATAAATTGCATGAGTGAACTAATTCCCAGTTCAAGGAGGGCTAACAACTGAAAGTGATATCATTTTTCTTAATTCACAATAGAATCCATAAATATTTGGGGGAGTTAAAATAGTAGTGTTAATATTTGTTATATTCCTGAACATCTACAACAGTATTTATCCACACGTAGTAAAAAATGAGCCAGAAATATACTCAGAATGTATTTCTAGGAGCATGTTTGTGAGCCATTTACATATTATACAATGTGTCTATGTCTTAAATCATAATAAAATTTTGTTACAAAAGTTTTCTTATCTCTAGGTCTGCTCTTTCATATTTTTAAGGCAAGACTTGGCACCTCTACTCACTAAAGATTTCCAAAAAATGACCCTCAAATAGGAGACTCTACAAAAGAGGGTAATGTTCTAATATGTAGATATAAAGAGATGAAGAGAGATTAATGAATTAGAAATAGTACTTGGAAAATAATGAATTCTTTTTTTATATTTTAATTAAAATTTTTTTTTGATGTGGACCATTTTTAAAGTCTTTATTGAATCTGTTACAATATTGCTTCTGTTTTATGTTTTGTTTTTTTGGCCATGAGGCATGTGGGATCTTACCTCCCTGAGCAGGGATTGAACCTGCACCCCCTGCCTTGGAAGGTGAAGTCTTAAGCACTGGGCCACCAGGGAAGTCCCAACAAGAAATTCTTTTAAAATAATTTTTAAAATATGTGTGTGACAAAGCGAGCGAGAGGCATGGACATATAGACACTACCAAACGTAAGGTAGATAGCTAGTGGGAAGCAGCCGCATGGCACAGGGAGATCAGCTCTGCTTTGTGACCGCCTGGAGGGGTGGGATAGGGAGGGTGGGAGGGAGGAAGACGCAAGAGGGAAGAGATATGGGAACATATGTATATGTACAACTGATTCACTTTGTTATAAAGCAGAAACTGACACACCATTGTAAAGCAATTATACCCCAATAAAGATGTTAAAAAAAATATGTGAACTATTTGGAAACTAGAGACAATCAAAAATAATAAAACAAAAATCGGTCATAATTCCTCCCAAGGCAGACAGTTACTAAATTTTTTGATTTATCTGAAATTTCATATGATGTGTGGTGTAGGGGAGAAATCAAACTTTATTTTTTTCCTGAATACAAGTTAGCCTGTTATCTCAACTTATATCATTGGGTAAAGCCTTAGAAGAAGTTAATTTCCACTTAAGCAAATCAAGATTGCACCTGTGTTGGCGGCACTTCCTGAGAGCCTCTGATTTTGCCACAGTTCTAAACTTTCTTGGTTCTCTGACTGAAGGGAATATACCAGCAGCGGTGGCCATGTTGCCCACCCAGACCCCAGCCCCGACATTGTCTCCTTCTCTGAGAAGCCAGGAGGACTAGTCAAACCAGAACAGGGAGTTCCAGGGCGGCACCAGCTGAGGGAACAAGTGGAGGCAGAAAGGGTGTCACAGGCATTTTCCAAAAGTCTGAATGCATATGCCCAGGATACCACCTCTTTGAATCTAACCTAAAGAAATACTCTCACACACGGACAAAAATGCAAAGGAAGCACTGACCACTGCAGCATTATCAGTTATCAGCAAAAACATCAATAGGAAGTTGGTTACATAATGATAAATCTGTATTATGGAATACTTTGCAGTGATTAAAAAGAATAAGGGGGGAGGGAGAGAAGGGAAAGAGAATGACTGCAAAAACATATTAAATGAAAAACCAAGTCATAGAATAATATGTATGATTTGATCTTGTTAATGTAAAAAGAACCCTCATAAATATGTATAATGTATATATGATATATATTATATATAAAATGTAATATATACAAAATATGTATATATGTATTTATACATATATAAAAATATATAAAAAAATAAACATATATATACATATATAATATATAGTATATATTTAGAGTATTTAGGTATATGTAACGAGAAAAGGTTTTGAAAAGATGCAAATTCCACTAAAGAAATCACAAATGGAATTGACAGGGGGAGTGCTGGAAAAGAGAGATGGCAGAGACGCTGTTTTACATTTTGCTCTAAGTACTTCTGTATTTTTAAAAAATCTTTTACAATGAGAAATGCAGGAAATGCTTATTCAATATTTTCAAAAGACAAAAATAAACATATAATAAAGGAAGACTTTCATGGAAACCCTAAGCCCATTTATGCCAGCATGAACCAGCATGTTCCCGACTTGCCCGACAGCGGGGTTCAGTCTTTATCAGCAGGTGCAGCTGAAGGCCAGCCCACAAATTCCTACCCATGACTCGAAGCTTAATCTGGGAAGTGCAGAATGGAATACAGGAGAACAGGAAACACAGGAGTCCCAGGAACGCTTATATTAAGGACCAGTTAAACCCAGAATTTTAAAAAGTAAAAGGAGCCAGAAATGATGACTACAACAAAAAGAATCATCACCCCCACGGAGAGGGCCAGGCCGATTTTGTTCTGGGCTGGACTTGATTAGACCATGCATGAAAAAAACGAAATCATTTTTTTTTACTGTCTCAGAAGAAAAATACAGAAGGTGTGTCTTGAAGTGACCGAAAATCACAAAGTTTTATTTTTTAAAGTGGAAATGATTCTCTCTTTTGCCACCTGGTGTATCTTACCAAACTGATTTACTAAAGGCTTGACCTTTGGGTCTTCCTATATTTATAGCAGGTGCCAGATTAGATTCTATTAAACTGGAATAAAAAGCACCTGCCCCAGCCTGCAGCCTCAGCCCAGTCCGAGGGCCATCTGAGAGAGCAGGGGCATGGGGAAGCCTCAGGGAGGGAAGATGGTGGGCTCCCCTACCTGTCAGGTGTCCTAAGGAGAGCACTCCAAGGGACCCTGCTCCTCAGATGCTGATTTCTATTAATGAAGGAAGTACTCAGGAGAAGGGAGGGGAGCATAGACGTAGTGGATTATGAGGAAAACACCACTGCCCCCACCACCTTCTTTTATAGGTCTGGTCCCAAAAAATGTCACCTTATTTCCCAATCCCACCCTACCCTTGCCCAGGGGTGAGAAGAGGGAAAAAATGATTTGCTTTGATACTTGAAATGTATTAAAACCTGCAGACACTGACAGTCTGCTCCTCTTCCATGCAGCAGCGTGGGGCAGCGATGAACCTAAGGAGAGAGCTCCTGACAGCTGAGAACACTCACAGGTTAAGTGGTTCTGTGCAATTCCACACCCCTGCTGGTATCCCCCAAAGGACGAAATCCCAGAGTACTGTTAAGTGAGACAGTATCTCCTCTTTTATCTAAGGCCACTTTTTCTATTCCGTCCTCTCTTGCTGCGTGCTTTCAATTACCCTTCTCTTGCTCAATTATTTAATCTTTACCCCTCAACTGCAACTTTTCAGCATGCGGAAGGCCTTCCCATTTAAAGAAAAATAACCACACTCTCTTGTTATGGACTAAATCTTGTTCCCCCCAAATCCATTTGTTGAAGCCCTAAGCCCCCAATGTGATGGCATTTGGAGACAGAGCTTTTGGGAAGTGATTACATTTAGATGAGGTCATGAGGTTGGGGCCCTCGTGATGGGATTACTGCCCTTATACTAAGAGAAACCAGAGAGCTTGCATGCTCTCTCTCGTTCTCTCTTGCTTTCACTTCCCACCATGTGAGGACACAGCAAGGAGGCAACCACTACAAGCCAGGAAGAGAGTTCTCTCCAGAAACCAGCCATGCTGGCACCTTGATCTTAGACTTTCAGCCTTCACAACTGTGAGAAAATAAATGTCTGCTGTTGAAGCCACCCAGTCTATGGCACTTCATTACAGCAGCCCGAGCTAAGACGGTCCTACACTCTGCTTCCAGGAACTACTTCTTCCACCATTTCACAGCCAAATTTCTGGAAAGTGTCAGTGTTTATAAAGACTGTCTTCATTGCCCTTCTCCCACTCATCACACCCCTCCAGTCTGGCTTCCTCCATTTCACTAGCCCAAAGAATCTTTCCGTTAAGTTACCAATCACTTCCATATTGCTATATCCAGTGGACAGTTTTTGCCTCTCTGAGGTGTATTTGACCACTCCCCCTTCCCCTGGCTTCTATGAAGCCACACTCTCCTAGTTTTCCTCTTCTGTCTCTGGCTGCTCTGCCTTAATCTCCTTTGTGGGCCTATTTTCTGCTATTGCCCTAGGCCCTCTTCTCTTCTCCCTGTAGACACTCTCTCAACCAGGGTGCACACCTTCAATTATCACTTACACGCCAGTGATTCTAATTTTCATCTTCAGCTGGGACCTTCCCTCTAGGCCCCAGATCTACAAATGCTGATCTGACGATTCTAAGAGGAGCACCCCAGGACCAGCATGTCCAAAGTAAACTCACAAGTTTGCCCATAACATGGTTCATTCATGCATTTAGACAAATGAGTCAGAAATCTAGGAATGAATCATTCTTGACCATTCCCTCCTCCGTCTTACATCCAATTTATCATCGAGGCTCACTTATTTTACTTTCTGTGACCAATTCCCTTTATGTCCCTTCCTCTCTCACCTGCTCTATTGCAGTAGCTTCCTAAATGGTATACCTGCATCTATTCTTGCTGTCACCAACCCATGTGATTTTTTTCAAAGTGCAAATCTGATCATGTCTTATTCCTGCTGAAATCCTCCAATAAAGTTTCATTGCTCTTACATTATGACCAAAGCCCCTAACGCAGGCCTAACCACGCATCTTTACTTCCATTCCAGCTTCCTCTCACACCACACAACCCCTCACTTTCTACTCCACAGAGGCCATGTTTCCTCCCGCCAAAGGACCATGTCATGTACTGTTTCCACTGCATAGAACACTCTTCTACTCCTCTTCTTCTTGTCCTGTTATGGGTTGAATTGTGGCCCCCAAAAAGATATGTTGAAGCTCCAACCCCTAGTACCTCAGAAGGTGATCTTATTTGAAGACAGGGTCTTTACAGAGGTAATCAAGTTAAACAAAATGAGGTCATTAGGGTGGGTCCTAATCTAATACGACTGATGTTCTTACTACAAAGGGGACATCTGGGCACAGAGACCAACATGTACAGAGGGAAGGAAATATAAAGACACAAAGGGAGAAGGCAGTCATATGCCTTGGGAGGTACATCTACAAGCCAAAGAACACCTGGGGTTGCCAGCACACACCAGAAGCTAGATAAGACAAGGAAGGATTCTCTCCTAGAACCATCAGAGAGAGCACGGCCCTGCTGACACCTTGACTGCGGACTTCTAGCCTCCAGGACCACGAAATAATACATTTCCGATGTTTTAAGCAACCCAATTTTTGGTACTTTATTATGGCAATCCTAGGAGACCAATACATCCTATCAATCCTTCTGTCTCATTAACTCCCACTCAGTTCAATCAGACTTTCTCAGGGAGTATGTCCTGGACCTCCTGGCTAGGGTCCCTATTAGATATACACAGCACTCTGTTCTCCCCTTCATAGCACTTACCACAGTTACAACTTGACATGTATTTATATGATTATTTGACAGAATCTCTCATTAGACTATAAAGTCCACTGCAGTAGGGACTGTGCCTTTCTTTAGTTTATTGCGCTACTCCCTGTGCCTAGCCTAGTACATCATACATACTGAAGCTCTATAAATATTTGTTGAATAAATGAATGAGAGAAAGAGATAAGAGGGGCATGCTGGAGATGGAACTAGAGGCTAAGACCTTAAAAGAAGACAGGCTGGGAGATAGTTTAACATGATAATAATTTCCAGAAGGGCCTCGAAATACCTCTGCTGTCAGCTGATGCTATCATTCCATAGAAGAAAGTTTTGAAATGCACATATCCCTGAGAGAGATAAGACATTAACCTAAATTTGCATTAGCATATTAATAACATCCTTCCCAGAAAGTAAGCTCGAGGAGAGGGTGTGTCATGGAGAGCACTAAATCAAGACTCTGAATGTCTGAAGATGGAAGCTGTGACTTGATGAGGGGAACCAGGGTGAATGGTGTAAAAAAAATAACCTTTCTTACGTCACAGTTTTGTTAAGGGTCAGCTTACCATTGGCCAGAAACAAGCTGCCAGATTACTACTTACCAGGCGTCGACGAGACCCCTTCCCAGAGAACTTTAACACAGCGCTTCACTGACACTTGGCAGTCAGGGAACCATTTCCTCTTCAACTAGATGATGCTGGGGGACAGTGAGAGGACGGGTATCCGGGACTCACCCAAAAGGGAAGACTCATGCCCTTGAGTTCTGATCACAAGCTTCTTCTGCTGGAATTAAAATGGAAAAGTCTTCACCATTGATCAACATCCAGATCCCACAAGGTACAGGCCACCACACACAGCCGCTTCACAAAGGACAGTCAGCTTTTTGGGGAGATCAAACTTTAGAACCCAATAATGACAGGAAATGATCCTCACATTTTATTAAAAAGGATTTGCTGAAGATCAGCAGAAATAGAAGAGAAAGTTTTTTTTTTTTTTTTGTGGTACGCGGGCCTCTCACTGTTGTGACCTCTCCCGTTGTGGAGCACAGGCTCAGTGGCCATGGCTCACGGACCCAGCCGCTCTGCAGCATGTGGGATCTTCCCGGACCGGGGCACGAACCCTCGTCCCCTGCATCGGCAGGCGGACTCTCAACCACTGCGCCACCAGGGAAACCCCGATAATTGCTTTTATGAAACGTTTTTAGAGCTACAGGAGTTCTTTTTTTTTTTTTTCCTCTACTGTCAACATGCCTTCAATGGCAGCAAAAAGGGAAACAGATTTTTCTTCATTGCCCCAACTCAGGATATATTTCCAGAATAATGATTAAACACCCCTCAAAATGCCTCCCATTCATACTCTCTGAAATTGTTAACGTTAGTTATATAAAGGATTAGTCTAAAGTTTACTGAAATCTTAGACTTTTAGAGTTAAAAGGGATCTTTGAGTATATCTGATCCAACCTCCCTCCAGTGAAAAAATATATTCTACAAAATTTCCAACAGTGACCTCAACTTATGCTTGAGTTTTCATGGGAACAATGATCTATTTTACTTCTTTTCTAGCCAAATTATTCCATTACTAAGCAATTCTACTTAAGCTTTTTTTAATATATCTTATTACATGGAACTCTATAAAACCAGTTGGCTCCATTTAAATTTTACGCTGGTACCTTATTCTTCCAAAAGTAATTGCCTAAAAAATTACTTAATTGAATATTTAAGTGAAAGGCACAAAATTGGCAATGATTTTATTTTTGCACTTATGACCTCTGGAATATTCCTGTGGCAGGTGTAAAATGAAGCTAAAATTTGAAATCTAACACAAGTTTCAACATGTACATTACACATTTGCAGTCTTTCCCCAAAACCAGCTTTAAGCATTAGAGTGTTTTCAATCTTTACCTTTTTTAGTGAAACTTGAACTTCACAAAACAGTCATTTGTGAGGTATCTTTCCTACAGTGACTCATTTTTGTGAACAATTTCATTTCTATAAAATATATTGTTGGCACGTGGTATAGTCATTTAATTTTATAATGACAGTATATTTTAAGAGTAAAAGCAAATATAGATGATTTAGAAATTCTGAAACATAAATTGAGCAACTGGAAGTAAAAACCAAAAGCTTTCTCAAATATGTTTTAAATAAACCATTAGAGTCAGACTAAAAAGAAAACTTTTAACTTTGAGCAGAATTTTAAAACATTTTAAATGTTCATAAAAATCTCAAAATATATAACCAAAATAAGCAGAAAAATACAGAGGTCACAGGCTTCTGATTGGGCTCAACGTGGAAATAACAATTTACACTGTTTCCTGAAAGTCATTAATAGGACTTAGTCAAAACAAGAGAGAAAATTCTAAAGAAAGGAGATCTGATAATTAAATCATGAGATGATTAGCAAAAGCATTTACCTTCCAAGAGGCAGCAGGAAGAAGGTAATCTCAGCCAACATCTCTATTCAGCAAAAAAGAGAGCCCCGAGAAACTGAAATGACTTAGCTAGATCTCCCCTACTGTTTTCTGTAACTGATAGGGGCTGCTGCTGTTTGATTCAGTTGTAAGGACTCATACCGATGAAAATTAGTTATAGCAATTGCTTGTACTGTCAGCCATGTTCAAATGCTGCCTTCTATACTGTAATAATCATGTTTCAACTTGAAAGGGATTAAAACCCCCACAAATACTGAAGCATACTGAAAATAAATTGAAAACCAGTGGGAAATAGAGTGTGGTTTAAAAAGCTTCATCAGCAACCTTAAACAGAAGAATTACGACTTGTGCCCCAGATAAAATTTCAGAACGGACTTCAAAAGCAATCCTTAGACTATTTTCAGTGTCTCAAAATATGTTAGTGGGAAGAGAGGCATAACAATTTTATTTGGATCTGTTTTGGACAAAAGAAAGTTTAATTAGAGACAAATTCCATAATTCACTTAGGAAGCACAGTCCTTTTTCCTTGGTTTTTTTATTTACAATATTTTAAAGTTACAGTTTTGAAAGAGCTGAAAAATGTTTCCTACTAACTCTCCCATGTTCTCTGTGGATAAAAGTTCTGTGTTTTGGATCCTTTACACGACAGAAGATAAATGCTAAGGTCCATCAGCAGGAGATGGAAGGAGTGAATTCCACAAACACTCAGCCTAGCTGCAATGTGAAACCAGCAACTCTAATAATTTATAGCTATATAAAAAGAAAAAAGGGAGACTGTTACACTTCACAACCATGGAGGAGTAGCTGATCACAGCTTTCATACAATACGCATGCAAGCACTTCCCCACAATCACTTCAAAGAACCATTCTCTTGTTCCAAACAATTTCAAAAGCAAAGGAACTACCTATAGCCATTTAGAAAATGAAATGCTGTCTAGAAAATAATTATTGGGATCAATAAACAATTAAAATTGGAGGTAGGGGATACTTAAATTTACTTGGATTCTTTCTTAGGAAGTTAAATTAAGAATTACCAAAGGAAATAAATTTCAAAATACTGTATAAACTCCTTTGGCAGTAAGCTACATATACATAAGTAGGTGTTCTCTTGATCTGTTCAAAAATCATCTGACACTAACAGATATACTACCCTGTATTTTGGTAGTACCATTTAGGATCCATAAGATGGCAGGCCTAGATTTCACAGTGATATTCCTAAAAGTATAAGTATACTGGTTGCCTTGAAATAAATATTGCATATTATCAGCAGTGTGTGGCTAGTAATAATATTAAGGGCATCTGTCAGATTAAATTTGGAAATTATGAAGCATGGGAACTATTAACAAGCTAATGCATTCTATTAGCTCATAATGAATCACAAAATACTACAGCCAGAAGAAAACTCACGATCACCTATTTTAGTCTTGCCTTTCTCCATATAAGGAAACCAGAATCCAGATTGCCCAATGTCACAGGGCATAGGGAATAGCAGAGAGAGACCCAGAATCCTGGTTTTCTTCACCCCAATTGGCATTAATCCTAACGTTCATTGTATTTCTTCAGCTCCTCATGGTGGCATCAAAGGCCACATAACTGCTCTGCCCTATCTCACTGCTCTCGAACCCCACTTCTGCACTTCTGCACAGACTGCCTTTTACTTGTCAAAGCGTCTCTCATGAGTTACCACTCTGTTCTGCCTGGCCCCCAAGCATGGAATTCCACAACTCTCTTCATAAATTTGTTCGTGTGTTTCTCAAACTGGGGTGTGGTGATATGGAGTGGTATTTGAAGCTACAGGAGTAGTTAAGTCCTATCTCTTAGGCAGGTTTTGGAGGTGCAACATCTTCTTAATTGAAAGAAATGAAATATGTATAAATTTTAAACATGAAATCCATGAAGTTTCAACAAAATGTGTAGCATTGGGTAGACTAGCTCAGGCCCGCAGCAATAAATCTCTTCTGTTCCCTATCCTGTCAGGGATACTCTGGTGAAAAGCTTACAGCTGTACAGTTGGCCCTCAGGTTCTGTTATCAGTGGATTCAACCAACTGTAGATTGAAAATATTCGGGAAAGAAAAAAATTCCAGAAAGTTCAAAAACAGCAAAACTTGAATTTGCTGTGCACTAGCAGCTAGTTACACAGCATTTACATTGTATTAGGTCCTATAAGTAATCGAAAGACGATTTTAAGTACATTGGAGGATATGCATAGGTCATATGCAAAGATCACGCCATTTTCTATAAGGGACTTGAGCTCAAAAGCTTGAGCAGATTTTGGCATCCTCAGGGATCCTGGAACCAAACCCCCTCACATACCAAGGGTGACTGAACCTGGTTAAAAGGTTCCTTTCCTTCAGAGCATAGCCTGGAGCCCACCCTGTCTTCTGTGAAGCACCTAAGGTCATGTTACACTTGTGTCCTAGACAAACTATCACACTACTGCCTAAATACTGTGTAAATGGTCCTAAGATAAATTTAACTTCTATGTGACAAAACATTATATTATAAACATTATAATAGAAATCAAATATCAACTATTATACAACTATCGTATGGGATACATATGTAACAGATAGAGACAACTGGTTGGCAGAATTCTTATGGGCAAACCAAACACAGTAGACGGAATTAATAAAAATAAACCAATGTACTACTTTTAGAGTTTTATACTGAGTTTTTTCCATTAAGCATTATATGCTATAGAGAAAAGTACGGAGATCCAAGAAGGTGAGCTAGAGGAGTTCTGACCAATTACCTAATCTGTCTTGGTCTGCTTTCTATTTTCTCATCTGTAAAAAAGAGTGAATTGGATTAGGAAGGGGGGAAAAGGTCTAGAATTTTAAATTGCTTTTTCTCATCTTTTGCTCTACCACCTCTTTGGCATAATTTTTTAATGAATGTAACATAAAATAATTAGTGCCTAAACCTTTTTTCTATATATCCTGACAGTGATTAATTCAGTTACTTGAAATATACTTACTTCCTTAAAAATTCTCAGCATATTCATGGGTTAGAAATCTGTAAACTAGTCCATGTTGTGAAAAACACAGACGGACTGAGGAAGGATTCCAGATTACGTGACACTAGAGACATGACACTTGAATGCAATGCATGATCTGGGATTTTCCTCTTCTATAAAGAACAGCAGTGGGACAATTTGCAGATTTTGAATGAAGACTGTAAATTGGACAATATTGGACAATGTTATTATGCCCTTTTCCTGATTTTGATAATTGTACTATAGTTATGTAACATGTAATAGAATAACCTTATTTCTAGAATTATACACTGAAATGTTTAGGGACAAAGGGCTATCATTCCTGCCACAAGAAAGAGGGAGCACAAGAGAACAT